CTGAGGGGGCCAAAGTTTCGCCCCCTATAGACAGCGATGGAATCAGCTGACTATGCCGGGGCGCCGGCAACCACAGCCACTCGGTCTTGGAAGGGTTGAGTCTGAGTCTGTTCCTCCCCATCCAGACCCGTACGGCCTCCAGGCAGCGGGTCATCACGTCAAGGGCATCGTTGGGGTGACCTGGGGTGGAGATGTACATATATATATGTTTCAAATGCCTGAAAAGTTATTATTATTATTTACATTTAATATAGCCACAAACTGCAGAGGACTTTAACGTTCCCTCAGTCTTCTTTTCTGGAGATTAAACACATTATGTTCTTCACAGGACTTGCCTTTCTCCCTCCCACCAACAAATCTTGTTAGTCCTCCTCAGAATTCACTCCCAAATTTGTTGGTGTCCATTTTAGGTTGCGGTGTCCACAACGTGCATTAGATGTACGCTAACACCAGTGTTTCTCAACTTTGGCCACTGTAAGATGTGTGGACTTCAACTCCCAGAATTCCCCAGCCAGCCATGTTGACTGAGGGGTTCTGGGAGTTGAAGTCCACACATCTTAAAGTGCCCCAGTATGACAAACACTGCCCTATGCAGACAGACTTTGCAGTTAGCAGGGTGCATGAATATCTATGATTTCGCTAGCACTCCAAATCCAGATTTTGATTTTCCATCAACATTTGTCTTCTTGGTGGCCGTTCTGGTGCCTGACGAGAAGCGATCGGTCTCCAAACGTTTTCCCACAATCGGAACACAGGTACGGCTTCTCCCCCGTGTGGATCCTCATGTGCACCCTCAGATTTGAGTTGCCCCCAAAGCCCTTCCCACAATCGGTGCAGGTGTACGGCTTCTCTCGGGTGTGAGTGCGTTCGTGCACCAAAAGACCCGAGCTCTGGCTGAACCCTTTCCCGCAGTCTCGGCATTTGTAGGGCTTCTCTCCCGTGTGGATCCGCTGGTGCCGAATAAGGACCGGGCGTTCCCGGAAGCTCTTTCCACAATCGGTGCACTGGTACGGTCGCTCGCCTGTGTGAGTCCTTTTGTGGACGATGAGGTTGGAGTTGTCGCAGAAACCCTTCCCGCAGTCGGAGCACCGGTAGGGCTTCTCGCCTGTATGGATCCTCGCGTGGGTGACCAGATACGCCCTCGTGCTGAAGCCCTTGCCGCACACGGAGCACTTGTACGGCTTTTCGCCCGTGTGGGTTCTCTCCTGCGCTCGGAAGTTGCACTTGAGTTGTAAGTCCTTGTTGCAGCACGGACAGGGTTTCTCACACTCACTCAGAGGGTTCTGGCTTCGGCCTGCAAGGGTTGTAAGCTGAGATGTGCCACTATCCAACTCAACATACCGTCCCTGGGAATTGATGAACTGGTCCAGATCTTTTTCAAGATAAGTTTCTGTCGGGCTTACAGCGGCACCATCTTGCTTCAGATAGTTTGGCTCAGCTCTTCTGGAAGTTTCCGAGTTATTCTTCTTTCCCAACTCGCTGTCCTCTTCCGCGTCTCCTAGAAAAAAGAGGGAACCCTCTGGTGAAAATCTGAATTGAGGGGTCCTTAGTGCTCTCTGAGCCTGGTTGTTTTCTTGCAGACGTTTCATTGGCCAAACTAGGTAACTAGCACTGATGAGGTTACCTAGTTTAGGTAATGAAATCTCTGCAAGAAAACAACCAAGCTCAGTGGACCAACGATCTCACAGATTCAACCCTGAGTTACAGAATCTGAATTGTCATTTTTCCATTGGGGACGCTAATCTCTGGACCAGGGGTAGGCAACCTTGGCTCTTTTATGACTTGTGGACTTCAACTCCCAGAATTCCTGAGCCAGCATGGCTGAGCTTGGAAACTTCTCGCTTTCCCCTCAGCATGGCTGGCTCAGGAATTCTGGGAGTTGAAGTCCATGAGTCATAAAAGAGCCAAGGTTGCCTACCCCTGCTCTGGACAGAGATCTGCCAATCTACCCCAGAATCATCCTGAAATAGCACTGGGTTTTGATGATGTGATGTTTCTCCCTTTTTAAAAAATAAATAAATAAAAATAATCAATGTTTAGATTTATTGTACACTTAGATCACCCAATGACAGGAATACAGTAGGCCCACTGATTCCTTGGCACTACACAGTTTACAGGGGGGGATGGGGGGGAAATCAAACTTTATTTTCACTAACACCTAACTAAAATTTAGGTTTTGTTACTGATCTACTGGGCTAGTAAAGAAATTCATCTAGTACTGTTATTTATTCATATTAAATGTATATACCACACATCTCATTTTCCAGAGCAACTATGAATGGCTTACAATATGATAAAATCATAAATATAAAGACATAAATATAAAGCAATCATAAATATAAAGCAACCTAGAACTAAGGAGAAACTTCCTGACAGTGAGAACAATTAACCAGTGGAACAACCTGCTTCCAGAAGCGGTGAATGCTCCAACACTGGAAGTTTTTAAGAAGAGACTGGACAGCCATTTGTCCGAAATGGTATAGGGTTTCCTGCCTGAGCAGGGGGTTGGACTAGATGACCTTCAAGGTTCCTTTCAACTTTACTACTACTACTACTACTACTACTACTACTACTACTACTACTACTACTACTACTACTACTATTATTATTATTATTATTATTAAGAAGAATTAGAAAAAGGCTAAAAAATCAAGACCATGAAGAACATAATAGGATGACAGTATGGATATTCCACTCCCATCATAGAGCAGGGGTCTTCAAACTTGGCTCTTTTATGACTTGAGGAATTCTGGGAGTTGAAGTCCACAAATCATAAAAGGGCCAAGTTTGAAGACTCCTGTCATAGAGTATCCTCATTAGGGCCCCAAGCCAACTGGCAGAGCCAGTTTTTAAGACCCTTCCAGAAAGCCAAAAGGGTGGGGGCCGATCTCACACCTGCTGGCAAGAGGTTACAATATTATAGATTTGTTATTTTTAATATTTTGATGATAGTATTTGAGCACAACTGCATTTCGCTTGTAACACGGCCTACTATAGCTATATATTTTATTTAATGCATTTAGGTTCATTTGTCTGAGAAGGGGTCCATCGGCTTCCTTTCATTCTTCCATCCGCAAATTTATGCAAAAACCTCCTTGGTGCCCTCTGAGCTGGCTTGTTTTCTTGCAGACGTTTCATTACCCAAACTAGGTAACATCAACAGTGCTAGTCTGATCACTGTGATTACCCAAGCTAGGTTTGATAATGATAGTGGGCAATGATGATGTTAACCTAGTCTGGGTAATGAAACGTCTGCAAGAAAACAAGCAAGCTCAGAGGGCACCAAGGACCCCCTCATTTCAGCCCTGAGCTACCAATATTCTCCTTTATTAAAATCCCTTTTATTAGTTTTGCAGCAGTCCAGAGCGAATATCCGTATCCCAGGGCAGTGATGGCGAACCTATGGCATCCGTGCCAGAGGCGGCACTCAGAGCCCTCTCTGTGGGCACACCTGCCGCCGCCAGCTCACACAGGCCCATTAGGCCGCCGCTGGCGCCCCCAGAGCAGCAGACCCACCCAACACAAAGGAGACGAAGCAGCTGGCTAGCAAGCTTGAGTAGAGGTGGTAGAGCACGCCCCCATGCACTCACTGGCCTCTGTGTGCGGGGGCTGATGGTGTCAGGCAGCAGCCACCCCTGTCTCACCTTGCCCCACAGCAACGGCACCCCCGCCCTACCCCCTGCCTCATCCCGCAGGATGAGTCTCCTGCTCACCGCCCTACCCACCAGAGACCCCCTGGATCTCCCCCAATCCTGCCCAGCCCCCACAGGTGTCCCCCCCATGAGCAACATCAAGATGGCCATGCTCACCCTAGCCATGCCCACTCAGTCTGCTGTGACCAGCGCAGCCACACCCACCCAGTGGGCCACACACACCCCGCCCCCCCTGAGGGCACCACAATGTTGATGTGGCCCTGGCACTTTGTAATAAATAAGATCACGTGAAGTATTAATACCACTTTACAATGCCTTCGTAAGGCCACACTTGGAATACTACATCCAGTTTTGGTCACCACAATGTAAAAAAGATGTTGAGACTCTAAAAAGAGTACAGAGAAGAGCAACAAAGATGATCAGGGGACTGGAGGCTAAAACATATAAGGAACGGCTGCTGGAATTGGGTATGTCTAGTTTAATGAAGAGAAGGACCAGGGGGGACATGATAGCAGTGTTCCAATATCTCAGGGGCTGCCACAAAGAAGAGGGAGTCAAGCTATTCTCCAAGGCGCCTGAAGGCAGGACAAGAAGCAACGGATGGAAACTAACCAAGGAGAGAAGCAACCTAGAACTAAGGAGAAACTTCCTGACAGTTAGAACAATTAACCAGTGGAACAACCTTCCTTCAGAAGCAGTGAATGCTCCAACACTGGAAGTTTTTAAGAAGAGACTGGACAGCCATTTGTCCGAAATGGTATAGGGTTTCCTGCCTCAGCAGGAGGTTGGACTAGATGACCTCCAAGGCCCCTTCCAACTTTATCATCATCATCATCATTATTACTATTATTATTATTATTATTATTATTATTATTATTGTTGTTGTTGTTGTTGTTATTATTATTATTATTATTATTATAAAAGGTTCGCCATCACTGTCCCAGGGCGTATCAAAATAGCAAAGTCTGACTTCCTGACTCCATGTTAAAATTCCTGCCCCAAACATTGCCTCCAAAGTGAATATTAAAATATTTTAAATAGTACTAACAAAACCACCAGGAAACAAAAAAAAAATATGGTGAGCTGGGAGAAATCCTTAGTTAAAGCAGGGAGCAGGATCAACTTCTGCGATTATAGAGATGCTTCTGTGTTGTTTTCTTGGCAACAGAATATTTGCCTCTGTCTTCTTCCACAATGGTTTTTTTTGACATCTCCCACAATGCAGTCCTTGACTTATGATGGTAATAATAATAATAATAATAATAATAATAATAATAATAATAATAATAATAATAAAGTTGGACGGGACCTTGGGGGTCATCTAGTCCAACCCCCTGCTCAAGCAGGAAACCCTATACCGTTTCGGACAAATGGCTGTCCAGTCTCTTCTTAAAAACTTCCAGTGTTGGAGCATTCACCGCTTCTGGGGGCAGGTTGTTCCACTGATTAATTGTTCTCACTGTCAAGAAGTTTCTCCTTAGTTCTAGGTTGCTTCTCTCCTTGGTTAGTTTCCACCCATTGCTTCTTGTCCTGCCTTCAGGCGCTTTGGAGAATAGCTTGACTCCCTCTTCTTTGTGGCAGCCCCTGAGATACTGGAACACTGCTATCATGTCCCCCCTCGTCCTTCTCTTTGTTAAACTAGACATACCCAATTCCAGCAACCATTCCTTATATGTTTTAGCCTCCAGTTCCCTAAACATCTTTGTAAGTCGTGCTGGCTATTAAAGAGGCCATCACACGACTGACCCAATTTGACTTTTTTTTTTTTTTTGCACTGCAGTCATTGAGTGAACCCATTGTCCAAAATGAGTGTGGTTTGCTGAAAACTGGAAAAGCTTATTTCAGCAAAAATGTTGTAAGTTGGGATCACAGGACTGGGACGCTGCAAATGGCTGTAAATACAGTCCAGCTGCCAGGTGACCCCAAATCCAATCCTGTGAACAGGGGGGAGAGGCAGGCGGCCCTCAAAACTTCAAATCTGAGTTGTCGGTATCTTTTAGGTGGTCCATAATAGAATATCTTTATTGTCACTGTGTAACTCACAACGAAATTAAGTGCTATCCACAGCGCACACTACACACAAGTAAAAACCACAAATAAAAACATACATTATATACACACATCCTTCACATTCTATTCACCAATACGCTGCCCCAATATTGCACTTCAATGTTGCACTATACATTATTATTATTATTATTATTATTAATAATAATAATAATAATAAAAAAAATAAAAAAAATAATAATAAAGTTGGAAGGGACCTTGGAGGTCATCAAGTCCAACCCCCTGCTCAGGCAGGAAACCCTATACCATTTCGGAAAAAATGGCTGTCTAGTTTCTTCTTAAAAACTTCCAGTGTTGCAGCATTCACCGCTTCTGGAGGCAGGTTGTTCCACTGGTTAATTGTTCTAACTGTCAGGAAGTTTCTCCTTAGTTCTAGGTTGCTTCTCTCTTTGGTTAGTTTCCACCCGTTGCTTCTTGTCCTGCCTTCAGGTGCTTTGGAAAATAGCTTGACTCCCTCTTCTTTGTGGCAGCCCCTGAGATACTGGAACACTGCTATCCTGTCCCCCCTCGTCCTTCTCTTCATTAAACTAGACATACCCAATTCCAGCAACCGTTCCTTATATGTTTTAGCCATTAGTATTTAATATGGTTACAGCGCTGGGATAAAAACTATTTTTCAGCCTATTTGTCTTTGTTTTTATTATCCTGTACCGTCTGCCAGATGGTAATAGTTAAAAAAAAAAAGAAAGAACGCCCTGAATGAGATGATGAGTCTTTAAGAATGTTTTGATGCTTTCCTAAGACCGTCATAATGGTCACCAAGCAACCACTCGTAAGTCAAGGACTACCCATACTGGGGATTTCTTATTGATCTCCATCACCAACCCTGCTTAGCCACTGGAGAGCAGACAAGATCCCTGCCGTCTCAGTCTTGTCTGCACCAAAAGATCATTTAGCCAAGCTACAAAGGATTTGGCTAGTATCTTGATTCTTGGCCACTAGTTCATCTGTGGTGATTCCTCGCCAGCCAGTGGACCCGGCAGCTGGGGAATCAGAGGAGGAGGAGGAGGGGCCTGGAGTGACGTCAGAGGAAGGCTCTAAGGAGCTCCAAGACTTACAGTCGGACGAAGAGCCTGGCCCCTCTACTGGCGCTCAGGCTGAGACACAGCTGTGCTGGAAGCCTGAGTTGGACAGTGATGAAGCACAGCTGGGAGATATCCAGGATGCACGAAAACGCTGGCAAGAGAAGCGAGTAGGACAGAGGAATGCAACGGAGCGGCTCCAAAGGCAAAGGAGAAGGCATTAGGAAGCCACGCCTTGGCTGCATAATAAAAGGGAAGATGTAGGAGGTGCTAGTTGCCAAAGGCAACCGTTCGTGTTGAGGATCGAGTTTCTGTGAATTGTGTTTGTTTGCCTTGGACATTGACTCAGGTCTGTGAATAATAAAAGGGGATTGGTTTTTTCCCTGCGGTTCCAGCCTGCTTGTTTGGAAAAGGGGTTTCTCCTTGTGAGCATAACAAGGACTCACAAAGGTTGGGACAGAACACTAGCCTTGTCATCCTGTGGCAATCGGACAGATGGGGTGGGGGCTTCTGAGCAGTCATCTCCCACCGTTGGGAGACCCCACTGCTTGGGATCCACTAAAACCCCAACAGGAAGGTGAGGATACCATCCCAAAGGATCCTTACCTAACAGCAAGTGTGATTCCTTGTCCGTCTCTTGTTTGATCTCCATGAAGGGAGGCTTCTTCTGCCGTTCACTGGAAAGGAGGGTTCTCAGTTCAGGGGATCCAGTCCAACCTTTGCGGAAACCCACCTGAATTCAAAGGAGAGACGAGCAAAGATTTCTACCGACTTGAAATGAAGGACTTTTGTAAAGCAAAAGAGGAAAGCGAGAAGAACCAGACGCAAAGAATAATAAAATACGTAGTGTAAACATGATTACAAATTATGCAGTGTAAATTATACCGTATAAATAAATTATAAAACATACGGTCTTAATAAATTATACTGGGGAAAAATACAAAATATAAAAGACCAGCAAAGAGAAGTAGAACATAAAAAGCAAGAAAAGATAATACTGATAGTAATAGGCGTCTTGGGTGCAAATCCCCAAACATCTGGAGCACTATCTAATAATAATAATAATAATAATAATAATAATAATAATAATAATAATAATAATAATGTTGGAAGGGACCTTGGAGGTCATCTAGTCCAACCCCCTGCTCAGGCAGGAAACCCTATACTATTTCAGGCAAATGGTTGTCCAATCTCTTCTTAAAAGCCTTCACTGATGGAGCACCACAACTTCTGGAGGCAGGTTGTTCCACTGGTTAATTGTTCTCCCAGGAAATTTCTCCTTAGTTCCAGGTTGCTTCTTTCCTTGATTAGTTTCCACCCGTTGCTTCTTGTCCTACCTTCAGGCGCTTCGGAGAATAGCTTGACTCCCTCTTCTTTGTGGCAGCCCCTGAGATACTGGAACACTGCTATCATGTCCCCCCTCGTCCTTCTCTTCGTTAAACTAGACCAGTGATGGCGAACCTTTTACAGACCGAGTGCCCAAACTTCAACCCAAAACCGACTTATGCATCGTCGAGTGCCGGGTGGGTGTGGCCCATTGGGTGGTCGTGGCTGCGGTGGTAACGGCAGACTGGGTGGGACTAAAAAGTTCAATCAATCCATTTCAACTTTGCAAGATCTTTTTTTTTCAGCGAGAAGTTGAAATTGACTGATTGAACCTTTTTTTTTTTTTTTGCACCCAGCGGTGGAAGCCTAAAGCGAAAAGGTTTTATAAAACCCAGCTGAAGGCCTAGGACTGGGGCGACAGTGCGCGTGCCCACAGAAAGGGCTCTGAGTGCCGCCTCTGGCACCCGTGCCATAGGTTCGCCACCACTGAACTAGACATACCCAATTCCAGCAACCGTTCCTTATATGCTTTAGCCTCCAGTCCCCTAATCATCTTTGTTGCTCTTCTCTGCACTCTTTCCAGAGTCTTGACATCTTTTTTACATTGTGGCGACCAAAGCTGGATGCAGAATTCCAAGTGTGGATTAGGGGAATGGAAGTCCAACCGAACGGAAGATTCCCCACTCCCAATCCCCCACTCTGACACTCAGGTTTAACCACCCAGCCTCTTACCTGCCCCACCTGCTTTGCTCCCTGTTGCTGCCTCAGCAGGAAACCCTCTGCCAGGACCACAGCATGGGGGCAGCTCTCCGGTTTCCCTTGCCTCACCCAGCTCTGCATTTCTGCGGGAAGGATGGCCAGGAACTGCTCCAGAACCACCAGCTCCAGGATCTGCTCCTTGGTGTGTCTCTCCAGCTTCAGCCACCGATGGCAAAGTTCCCAGAGCTGGTGGCAAACCTCTCGGGGGCCTTCAGCCTCCTGATAGCCAAACTGCCGGAAACGTTGGCGCTCCAGATCGGTGCCCAATGCTTCTTCGATGGGCTGGATCTTTTCCTTCACCTTCCCACCCTCCTCCCCTTGGTCTTTTGCCAGGAGACTGTTGGCCATCAGCTGGACATCCGCGCTGAACCTTGAATGGTTCCTCTTCCCACTTGCCCGAGGTTGGGAAGACTCCATCGCTCTCAAGAAAGCCTGCAGCTGGGCTTCCCAAGGCTGCTGCAGTCCGTTTGGACAGCCAACTCCAGTTCTTTCCCAGAATTCCTCCCTGTTGCCAGTGAGCAAGATGGGCGGGTCTTTCCGGCTCCCCGATTCAAACAGGATGGACTCTGCCTGCTCTGCTTTCACTTCCTGTTGAATTCCAACCTCTTGAAAAAGACCCAGAGGCATCACAACTCTTTGCTCAGAGGCCATGTCCTCTTCCTGCCACCGATGACGGCTTGAGCCAACTGAATGTGTGAATCCCACCCAGTGAAGCGGCTGCTTTGGATATCAACACCCCACAGTGTATTTCAGGCCACGGGGTAGTTGAGCAGTATCAGTTTTCTTGCCATGAGAAACGGTTCGAGTTCCTAAGGAGAAATTTTAAAAGGAGGACAAGAGTTGAGCAAGGCCAAGACACGCAAAATAAAATAACAAGCCGGCAAATCTATTCAATTTTAGATGGCTAAGATTATTAATAAACTAAAGATGTTTGTGACAAATTATAGATATTAGAGAGTCATGATGGAACTTTAGAACGAGGTTATAATTGTACTTACAGCTGCTGGGAAGAATATTACAAGCTACTTTATATATATATATTTATGTCTTTCTCTTTTCTACCTTTTTATTGCACTTTTATTTTTAATTTTTTGTTATTTTTTTCATTGTCCTAATTTAGTTTTTATTAGTCATTACTGCTCTTAAATTTTTTACCGGTAATGAATTACATAAAGTTTGTACACAATGGACAGCATGCTACACAGAAATCATAATATAATTGACAAATGGTCATCCTCACTACTTGCAGAATATTTCAGAAAGCTGCCCTTTAGATTTATTTAAATTAAATTAAAGTTATTTTCTTGGTTTCGTTCTTGAATTTTGCTTTGTAAAACTAAGTTGTAAACAAAGTTTTTTTTTTATCTTTATGAAGATTTTTCAGATTTGCCACTTTTTTCCAGATCTGCCCTTTAATTTTTTCCCAAGAATTACAAGAGCAATTTGATTTAGTAGTAAAGGGCCACACCTCCTAGAGCAGTGGTTCTCAACCTGTGGGTCGGGACCCCATTTGGGGTCGATCGACCATTTCATGGGGGTCGCCAAGCAAGGCTGTCCGCCATTTTTTTTGTCCGCCATTTTTTTCCCCTTTTCCAGCGGGTGCCTTACCTCCCTTGGGCTGGGCCAGCTGGTGGTCGGCCTGCTCCGTCTCTGCTGTTTGCCAGCTACGCCTCGGCCGGCGCAGGGGGCGGAACCACGCATGCGTGGCGCTCCCAGGCAGGGAAAGTCCTCGACTTACGACCGGTTTAGTCCTCGACTTACGACCGGTTTAGTCCTCGACTTACGACCGGTTGGGGTCGTGGCATTAAAAAGGTTGAGAACCACTGTCCTAGAGACTGTGAGTTCTAGCCCCACCTTAGGCATGGAAGGTAGCTGGGTGACTTTGGGTTAGTTAGTTGCTCATTCTCAACCCAGCTCCTTTCACACAGTTGTTGATTGGGGAAATAGGAGGAGGAAGGAATATTAGGCATGTTCACAGTCTTATTTATAAAAATAATAAAGGCAGGATATATTTTTAATGGCCAGTGTATATACTAGGTATAATATAACTTATCATTCTTTATTCTGAAGTAGACATAGAGCAGCTGCTCATATATTAGTAAGAATGGCACTTGAGATGCTCTCATGTTGTGGGGGATGCAATTTAGAAATAACCTATATCTTTTTCGTAGCATTTTATGATCACCAGAGACGCCTAGCCAGGTATCAGGTATCAGGATTGCAACTCCAGACCCATCTGCTTTCCTTTCTCATAGATTATAAGCCAGATGTCTGCTGGATAAAATATATATATATCTTCTGCAAAGCAGGAGGGGGGGGCTAGGAGAAAAGTTCACAGAATTTTTAAAAAGAAGGTCATTTCTAAGTACAGAAATCCAAAACGTGCACACATCATTAAGCCATGTGTTTAGGTCTGAGTTTAGCGTTATCATGCACAACCAGATGGCTAAGGATTGTTCAGTGTATAAATCGGGCTTAGCACAACGTGTGAACTTTGCAGCAGAAATTTAGCAGAAGCACTTTCCCAGCATATAAAAAAAGGCGCTGCTGGAGAGAAACTACACCGGTTTAATTTCTGCCTGGCGGGCACAGCAATCAACCTCATCCCAGCTCAGCCAGCACTTAAAAATAAAGCAAAACCAGAAAGCCTAACTCCGTCATCTCGTTTTGCTAGGCACGGTTCCCCCACGCCCATACTCATACCTAAAACACAGAAAAATAAATATATCACCGTGGATCCTAAGCCTGGGAAAGTTAAATCCTACTTTCCCACGGGAAGCGGAGCAGGAAGTAGATTATGCCATCTGTGACCCTCCTTTGCCAAAATAGCTCTCTGCTTCTCTAGGAAATCAACACTCAGCCCATTTAACCCCTTTGTCGAATTGCAAAAGTTTGATCACAAGTTCCTAGCACAGTGTTTCTCAATCTTGACCATTTTAAGGCATGTGGACTTCAACTCCCAGAATTCCACAGCCAGCAATGCTGGCTGTGGAATTCTGGGAGTTGAAGTCCACATGCCTTAAAATGGTCAAGGTTGAGAAACACTGTCCTAGCATTTTACTTCATTCCCTTTCCAAACACATTGCCGTCCGGATGTTGCTGGACTACAACTCCCGAAACCCCTCGCGCTAGCTGGGAGACGCAGCCAATCGCAAAACAGTCCAGGCAGCGTTTCCGTGCGGAACGAAAGGTCGGGACCACGCAGGGGAGGAAAAGAGAGAGAACGGCCCCCTCCCCTCAGCGCAGCTTCTCCTGGGGGCCACTCTAGGAAAAGGAGGAGGAGGACTTTTCTTTCCTTTAACCCTTCAAGACCGCAGAAGACAAATCCACCTCTTCCCTAGTATTTTTGGCTGGCTGGGTTTAAAAGTGGCGCCGAATAAAGGTGGTTTATGGAAATAACCCCCTGGGATAACCTTGCCCAGCTTGCTAAGCCTGGGTTTCCAAAGAACAGAGGCCGGATTCACACAACCGGTTTAGCCTAAATCCAACAAGCCTTGTTCTGACTTAGCAACTTGATGATGATGATGATGATGATGATAAAAAGTTGGAAGGGACCTTGGAGGTCATCTAGTCCAACCCCCTGCTCAGGCAGGAAACCCTATAGTATACCATTTCAGACAAATGGCTGTCCAGTCTCTTCTTAAATTAACAATAGAATAATCATATTCTAACTAACATTAATCAATTATTAGAACAACAAATCTGTAAAATCCTTTTAACTCTCTTTTTAACATAAAATATATTAAGATTAAACACAATAATAATAATAATATATTAATAATTAAAAATAAGGATAAATAAACTGTATAACAACAATAATACTCTAAAATTCACTCAAAAACCAAATGAAACTTTTTGATCCCATATTTCTTCTCAATATAATCTATCCATCTTCTCCAAACCGAAATATATCTTTCTTGTGAATAATCCTTCACATATGCGGAAATCTTGGCCATTTCTGCTAAATTTGAGACTTTAAGTGACCATTCTTCTATAGTCCAACCCCCTGCTCAGGCAGGAAACCCTATACCATTTCGGACAAATGGCTGTCCAGTCTCTTCTTAAAAACTTCCAGTGTTGGAGCATTCACCGCTTCTGGAGGCAGGTTGTTCCACTGGTTAATTGTTTTAACTGTCGGGAAGTTTCTCCTTAGTTCTAGGTTGCTTCTCTCCTTGATCAGTTTCCATCCGTTGCTTCTTGTCCTGCCTTCAGGCGCCTTGGAAAATAGCTTGACTCCCTCTTCTTTGTGGCAGCCCCTAAGATACTGGAACACTGCTATCCTGTCCCCCCTCGTCCTTCTCTTCATTAGACTAGACATACCCAATTCCAGCAACCGTTCCTTATATGCTTTAGCCTCCAGTCCCCTAATCATCTTTGTTGCTCTTCTCTGTACTCTTGAATCAAATCTTTATTCCCTAGGGTTAGCCTTCCCCAACCTGGCCAATATATGTACAGGAACCCCATCCAAATATCTTAAAAGTTCTAGAAATTGAGAAATATTGATTTAAATGGTGTGATGTTGCGCATTATACCTTGGCACGGCATGCCAAATAACCATAAATCATGGTTTGCAATCTCAAATAGGTATCTCAAAAGGTACTTTTCCAAGAGGCAACGGGACTTTCTTGATTTTTTTTCTTTGAAGACGTTTCGCTTCTCATCCAAGAAGCTTCTTGAGCTCTTGACTGGATGGTGGGGAATGGAAGGATTTATACTCCTTCAAAGAAAAACAAAAAAATCCAGTTGCCTCTTGAAAGAGCTCATTTGAGACAACCATGACCGGATGACTGAGAATCTCCGCAGACACTCAAATAGGTATGTAAAAACCAAGACATATTGAGTATTACATGCTGGTGAGCCGGGGCATCAGATTAAACCATAATATGGTGGATATTTCATGAGATTCACATGCTGTGTGAATCCAGCCACTATAGTCCAGCAGATACAGACAAAAGTTTTCCAATAAAGTCTTCAGCTTTTGCCATCCACCAAAAAGTTGAAACTCGGGAGCGCAACGTCACCTTTTCAGAATAATACATTTTACTAAAAGGCTTAAACGTTTGTATACTTCTGTTTTGTGTTTTTTAAGAAAATCTGTTAGTCAGGAAACATGCCCCCCAGACTCCTGATAATTGTCTACGGTACATCAGTGATTCCCAACTTGGGGACTTCAACTCCCATCATTCTTAGCAGTGGCCATGCTGCCTGAGGCATTCTGGGAGTTGAAGTCCACCCATCTCACCATTGCCAGGGGTGGGAAATGCAGCTGCAGGTTGAACAAGGCTCTCCTCGGACAATGTCTCCAAAGAGTTAAGTGAACAGAGAGTTTGGTTGCCAGAGATAGCCGGAAATGTAGTAAGGATTTCAGTAAAAAGTGGAGAGGAGGGGGGGAAAGGATGAAAAACATACCCTTTTCTGCCCTACTTCCTTTGGGGGGAGGAAGAATCTAGCTTTTGAATTTGCCCTCTCTTCTTCCCGCCTTGAACGAGGCTGTTGATCTGTGAAAAATGCCTTAAATCTGCATTTCTTTTCATGGGAAGAAGAGCGGAATTCAAAGAGAAATCCAGAATTATTATCCTGAGCTTTTTTTAATGACTCCTTTTCCTTCCTCTTCAGACTTAACTTCATCTCGGGTTCCATTCTCAGACAGA